GATTTGCCGGTGTGATTAGTATACGTGGGTTACACGCTCTGCTGTATCCAACCTGTAACTGTAGCCGAACCTAAAGAAAGGTGCACTTCATTTAGGTACACTTCAATTACGCGAAATGCAAATGGCGGTACCTACGATAAGAGAGAAAGTCGCAAATAAACTCCTCACTTTTCGAGTTTATTTGTGAACCCGTCCTAATTACTACGGAACCCTCAATTTAATGAATCCAATCGCCAGAGATTAATAAATATTGATGATGGCAATTAAAACTCCATCCGTTCTAACTTACGCCGTCAGCTGTTTTAGTAAAACGACGTGTAATTGAATATGGGTTTCGTCCGAGGTTTTCCATCGAAAAAGCTGCTGCTGGCTCCACCAATTTTGAGTTTTAAGCTCTTATTCATTGTAGGTACTCAGAAAAAAATACAATTTTATTGAAAAATGAAGTACAACCTGTAAGGAAAGCTTCATAGTGCTCCAACTCAAAAACCGGTTCAGACGTTACCATCCGTTTCGTGAACTGATTCTCACATGAACCAATTTTTCTCCCTTTGGCTGCTCATTTAACATATTTACCATGTCATAGAGAGGGCGTTCATCATTTCATTCAAAACGGATGTGATGCTCGAGAATGTAGCTTTTACTTTCAATTGAAAAATATGACGAACGTTATCAACAATTATATCTTTTGAGTTGCACATTCTACAAACGTGTTCAATTACGATTCTAATTATTTTTAGCCGCACAATGTTCCACATTTAATCGTTTTTTAAGATTTAACGATTTGTATTTATTTTTTTAAATAATTGAATTTGGTGCACGCACCTAATGGGACTCTAATTAATTTATTACTTTGAAAGTATTGTTTTACGCTCTCAGCCCAATTATAACCGTTAATTGTTTAGTTGGTTGTGATTAAAATCTAATAAAGTAAAAACAAGATTCCTCGCGCGCGATTTAGGCTGGAATTTTGTGAGTAAAATACATAATAGGGAATATTTGGTAAAGAATGTCGCGCTGAATGCTGGGCTTAGAAATCCGGGCAGCAGCAAACAATGCATATCTCGACAATACATTTGAAATGCGCAACATCAAAGTCTGTCAATTCAGTAACATACAATTATTATTAATTTCCAAGAATTATTAAATCAGATACTATACCGTTTATTGCTGTAAATGACTAATTAAATTCCATCCATTAAACAAGGAAATGGGGACTGTAAAGTACAATTGTTACTTTGATAAGTGAATTTCATATTCGTTTTGTGACGCTTTGCGAGATTTGTATGATTTCAATATAATGTTCATTGTTAACGTTTCTTCTGCTTCTCGTCCATACACTTATTTCTAGCAGTACCTACCCAATCGTTTTTGGTTTTTATATTTGCCTTAGCGAGGCAAATGTTCAAAGTTATTTTAGACTTTCTCTTAATTAAGTTTTAACTAGATCTGTAATCTTCAAAATCCCACAAAACTAAATGCAAAATATTTTTACACCTGCTGTCAATTCGTAAAGAAAGCTTTAGCAAAAATTTAAAGATTCTTGTCCCAATTACTGTGACTGCATACTGCGGACACAAAAGTCCAAGTAATTTAGGACCCTACTCACTACAAAATGCTTTTGCTGAGAATCATTTTTTTTTATGCAGAAAAAAGTTAATGTCAAAAAAGCCTTGGTGGTCAAAAAAAAATAAATAAATGCTTATGTATCAATTTTTGCTAATAATTCAAAATTACCCCGAGTTCGTTAACAGCCAACGGTAGGTAATCGATTTTTCCAATTTTTCACCGTATGGAAGTATATCGAACGTTATCCTGTTTCTCCACTTAATTAATGAATGGAAGTAAAATTGTAACCTTATAAGAGCGCATTTTTTTAATTTTTTAAACATGGCGAGCCTAGTGCCTAGTGCCCTGAAATTGCCCTACAATAGCACAGTTTTTGTTCGTGTTGAGTTCGGTCGTTTTGCTTGAAGGTCTTTCTTCAAGTGTTGAATCGTGCTTCCACAAACCTCACCATTAATCATGATCCCTTTTGCCATGTATTCAGTAAGTAAGCGCCCTCACAGTCCACCAACATTTTCGCCATCTGTTTTCCAGACGAGGACGAGGTTTTTGCTTTTTTTGGAAATGGAAATCCCTTATGAACCCATTGCATTGATTCCTGTTTTGTGACAATGTCCCTTTGAAACACGCTTTGTCGTTCGTAACAATCCACGAAAAACTCCAAAGTGTCCAAATGCTCCTGACAAGTTTCATTGGTCTCCAGTTTCTGTTCTGGCAAAAGTCGGGGAATCCATCCAGCAGACGCTTTTTTCCTGTCTAAATCTTCCTGTATAATCGTGAATATTGTATTTCCGCACACTCCCGGTTCTTTTGTATAAGTACTCAGATTGGCATTTGGCGATCTGTAAATCTTCCTGAGTTCTCGCCTCATCTGGTTCTGCTCTTGAGTCATCATAAATCGAGTCTCGACCCCATAGAAATTGTTTCGACTAATATTTTGTTTGAAAAGGGCTCATTCTTGAACAACTTTCACACCATTTCTCCCGTTAATGAAGAACTGTATAACCGCTCGATGCTTTAAATTAAGTTAACTCATTTTTTGAAACAAAAATACTTCCAAAACTACCCAATGCTGTGAATCCGTACAAAATTAGATCAGAGAACTTACTACACTAACAGCTAAGTTGGATTTCTCCTCAAGAAATCTAGGCATGTGTCTCTTGCAACTCTAGTAAAGCGAAATTTGTTGCACTCCCAACAATAACGATGCCGCTTCTTTGAAGGTCCTCCTCCAATCTCATTGTCACGTAAATAAAAAGGTTCATGGAATTGCGTCTGAGCAAGAAAATAAAGTCGATTTGTGTAAACTAGTAACTTTCAAGCTTTCTGTAGGTGATGATACTACTCCTCTTAAGTTACTTATCGCTAAATATTGCCCCGAACCGAGGAATGCGCTTCAGTCTAAACCCCCGCCAATACATAGTGAGGTAAATTACCCTCCTATTCCCGTTCTTGACGACGTTCTTGTTGATCTCCGTTTAAAATGCTATGAAATAAGAATAAAGAAAGCTCTTTCCAGTTTCCCTAGAAGTTATTCTGGAGGAATTGATGGTCTAAGACCAGGGACCCGGTCCCAAATGAAATATGGGTTCCGGTTACGTTTATATCTAACCGAAAATGTTTACAACGGTTCCGGGCGGTTTCGGATCTAATAGTAGGGGAGCTAGCACGAAATCCACTGAACGAGAATGATCAAAATTTTAACCGATGGAGTTCCATTTTGCCCTATCAGAGTATGCTAAAATCGATCGTCTGCCGCCTAAGGTCATACGACTTAAGGCGCTGCGGGTACTTCTTGTGGTACCAATTCTGAAAGGTTGTTTTTCGAAAAAATAAGTTATACACCAAATGAAAACGTTGATAATAGCTCTTAAAAAAATATTTAAAAAAATCGCGAACATTTGATAACTCCGTAAAAGAACAATTCTTAGTCGGTTTTTCACGAACTTTCTACGGATATACCTAGGTTACCGTTGGATGAATGAAGCTAATTTTTTTTACAGACTAATGATAGGTACAGCCAATGATTATGACAGTGTTTCTTTTTTAAGTTTTTTCTCTAATTATAAGATATCTTATAATGTTAAGATAATAAGACAATCTTATAATTAGAGAAAAAATTTAAAAACGAAACACCGTTAAGTCATTAGTAGTACCTATCATCAGTCTGTAAAAAAAATCAGCTTCATTCGTCCAACAGTAACCTAGTTATATCCGTAGAAAGTTCGTGAAAAACCGACTAAGAATTGTTTTTTTACGGAGTTATCAAATGCGCGCGATTTTTTAAAATATTTTTTTAAGAGCTATTATCAACGTTTTCATTTGGTGTATAACTTATTTTCTCGAAAAACCATCTTTCAGAATTGGTACCGCAAGAAGTACCCGCAGCGCCTTAAGTCGTATGACCTGAGGCGGCAGACGATCGATTTTAGCATACTCTGATAGGGCAAAATGGAACTGCATCGGTTAAAATTTTGATCATTCTCGTTCAGTGGATTTCGTGCTAGCTCCCCTACTATAATAGTTATTAAGGTATCAAGGGCGTTATGAACTAAATAACGCCCCAGGTCAACAGTGTAGAACCCGAGGGCCTCCGGCCCGAGGGTTATACGTTGACCGTGGGCGTTGTGTTCATAACGCCCGTGGTGCCTTCAACGTTTTATGTCATACTTGAAGATTTTCCAAGAATTAGCGGTGACAGATGATTAAAAGAGAAGATAATGAGAATCATCAAAATTAAGTTATCCATGGTCGTAACTATGGAGATAGATATTATATTTGTCAAACATTCTAAAAACTTTCTGAAAAATGGCAGACGAAGCGTCTCATTTACCAGGCACACGTTCTTGCGCGAGAAATCCTCTTATAAAAAAGAGTACGCTACTTTTGAAAAATGGATGGTGAGTAATTCTGTGGAGGCAATAAACGAAACCGTTATGTTGGGTTACTTCAAAGAGTTGGTATGTTTAAGTAATTTTATTAGTCATTAATCGGAAAGGTGATTTACAGTCAGAGTCATTTTCCCCCAATTCGCTTTGGACGAAATTTGCAATGCTACGTAAAGAGTTAATGGTAAAGAAGAAGTTTATAAGAGTTTCGAAAAATTTGTGCAGCTACAAGGGTATTTAAAACAAGTTCAGAAAAGCTATCGTCCAAAAAAATCAAAAATCCTTACTCGCGAACAGATAGTCGCCTTTCTTACAGAAGCACCTGATCCGCAGTATCTGATGTACAAAGAGGAAAGAAAATGTATGGGTCTGGGCCAAGCTGGTGCGGTGTTCTCTGGACATTTCCAGAATGGTTCTTTTTACTTCAAAGAATAATGGATAATGCGACATCAACACAGTTCTTTTTACTTAGTTGTTGAAAATAAAAAGTTCGTATAGATTCATTATTCCATATTTATAGGATTTACATAACGCCCAAGGCCACACAACCAAAGTTAACTCTGACTGTTCTCACAGTAACTATATTCTAACCATAAAAGTTAATCGTACTTAAGTATGAATTAGGTATCTCTTGTGTAACTGCGGTAGTTACATTTGATAGGTATCCATCACGGTAACCAATATCTACCAATTAGTAAAATCACGTAGGCGCTCTAAAAATTAACTATTTCGGGTTAACCTTTGGGCATCATTGAAGATAAACAATTTCATAAAGACTACAAAAGTCAACTGCGGAAGATACCGAGTGGATAGGTGTCAATTTGCTTTCATTTGAAATCATCGAAAAGGTAACTTAAGAGGTTATATTCATGATCGCATTGAAAGTTACCCATTGATCGAAAATGAGAGACGAAAAAAGTCATGTATCCATTATATATTATTTTGAATTTGACTTTTAGACTGTTGTCTATAGATTTACACAGATAATAAAAAAGTTAACTTCTGATTATAGTATAAAACAAAATCGTACGGTTAACATTTTGTTACACGGTTGGAAGTTTAATAATTACAAATATTATATTGAATTTAGACTTAGGGGCTCGTCATTTTAAATATTTAACCGCACTTTATGATTTAAAGTGAAATGGTGCTGTTAGATTTTGCTATTTTTTTTTAATACACGTCTATTTTTTTTCAACCAGCATTTGGAATCTGCTCTTTTGGGGGCTGACTTTTGAGAAATTTATTCGGCAAACATAAAGTTAGCCTCTAAGTAGGATTTAGCGTTATATTCGAACGGTTAGTTTATTCGAAATTATATAGGTTGTAATTATTTTATTTCCAGAAAACAGTACAAGATTAAACTTATATTTTAAATCGCAGTCTTTAAGGTGTCTTATAGGTAAGAAAAAGTTTGCTCTTATTGATGATTTAAAGCAATACCAAATGGTTGGTTTTTATGAATTCTACAGCTTTATGGAGTTTTAATAATTACAATACGTGCCGACAAAAAGGTACTCTTTAGTCATAAAGGTTAATGTAAACATAAAATGCTGATTGGCAGAAAAGTTTAAGGATTAAGTCTACAAAGTGTTGACCGGTAAGTGTTGCAGGTAAAAATATTACCTACCTACCACAAATGGATTTCTGTAGGTACTCGAAAATTTTGTAATTGCATCTCTAATGGAACTTTACACCAAGAAGAAACTAAATTGTCGCTTTTTTATTTTGATGATTATTAAAGTACAATTTTTATGTTATTAGTTGAACGCAGGTTTCGAATATTATAACTTAAAATTATCCGGATGTTAACAATACCTACTACTAACAAAAGAAAACTTAAAATCTTACTAGATACCTGTTCTAATGATTCGACCTTTTCCCAGCTTAATATTTTTGCTAAGTACCTGAAATTCTCAGATGTACAGTCGGTACATTACCCATCCAAAAACGCAAAAATACCTTTTACAGAACGGTGGTGTATCTTGTAAGTGCATCAGTTATTTCGCAACGCTGATCTTAATTTAAATTTTTAAAGGTAAGTAAATATTTTATTGCAAAATGTTATATACCACAGCAGTTTTATTGTAGATGTACCGAAATTATTCAAAAGGGCATCGATATCGCCTTATTAGACAAACAAAATCTAGAATCTTAAATAATAGTTCCAGTGTTCCTTTAGTTAAATCCACTAACTTTTCTCAGCAATCCGTACCTAGAAGCCCTTCCCCTGCTATAACAGAAAAAATTCAGAATACTAGAGACATTAGTTCAATAAATTTAGATAATTTTAATTCACCGTTACAATTTCATGGCAATCATATAACAGACAGCGCTACATTCATTAAAGATGAAATACGACAGTGGGCCCTTGAATTTAATATAAATCAAAATGCGCTATCTAATTTATTAAAAAGGCTAAATCAACATAAGTGTTTTGTTAATGTTTTACCCCAAGACGCCAGAACCCTGTTAGGTACTCCAAGAGTAATTAACATAAAAAATATAAACCCAGGAAATTATATTCATTTCGGGCTAAAAGATAATATTAAAAAGATTTTAATGCAGCTTGATCCCATTCGTGTCATTGTTACACTAAATATAAATGTAGATGGGTTACCCTTAACTAAAAGTACAAATGCACAATTATGGCCAATTTTAGCGAATTTGCATGAAATAAAAAATTCACATTTCATTGTTGGTATATACCACGGTTGTAGTAAACCCCTGTCTCCAAATGAATATTTGAAAGAATTTGTGGAAGAAGCAAAATTTATTTTAAAAAACGGTATAGAAATTAAAAATAGACAGTGTCGTGTAGAAATTAGGGCATTTATTTGTGATGCGCCCGCAAAGGCATACATAACTATGACGAAAGGCCACAATGCCCATTTTGGTTGTGGAAAATGTGAACAAGAGGGCAAATATTATAATAATAGAGTAATTTTTTTAGATACAAACGCTACATTGCGATCAGATGCAAATTTTTTAAACCAAGTCCAAGAAGAGCACCATAAGGGTGTTTCAATTTTAACAGAGCTAGGTATCGGCTTGATTACAAGCTTTCCATTAGATTACATGCATCTCGTATGCTTAGGTGTTATGAAAAAAATGATAAAATTATGGATGAGAGGTAGTCTTAAATTTCGTTGGCATTCGAAAAAAATTGAAACTGTTTCGTTAAAACTCGAAAACCTTAAAAAATTTATCCCCAAAGAATTTTGCAGAAAACCCAGAACCCTTAAGGAAGTGGACAGATGGAAAGCTACTGAATTTCGTCAATTTCTACTGTATACCGGACCTATCGTTTTAAAAGATGTTTTACCACAACATTATTATGACCATTTCATTTGCTTACATAGCGCAATTAGTATTTTAGCTTCGATTTCTCTTAGAAAATATAGAAAATTTGCAAAAGCCTTATTAATTTACTTTGTGGAACTATTTGGTTCATTATATGGAAAAGAACAAGTTTCGTACAATGTACATAATTTAATACATCTGCCAGATAGTGTTGACACTTTCGGTAATATTGATTCGTTCAGTGCATTTCCATTTGAAAGTTATATGCAGACTATTAAGAAAATGGTTAGGAAATCAGAAAAACCTTTGCAGCAAATTGGTAATAGGGTTCATGAATTAACTTCCAGAATAGTAGACAGGCATAATGACCAGGAACTACCCGTTATGCAATATCCAATTGTACATCACAATAATATACTGACAAATACTCACAAAATGTTAATTACAAAGGAATATATTGTTATTGCTAATTCAGTGGCAAATCAATGCGTTCGAGTCCAAGGTGGAGTATACATTTTTACAGAATTAATCGGTTATCATGAAAATTCCTTGGTAATTGTAGGTAAGGTGTTTGAAAAGGTCAATAATTTTTATACACACCCAATTGAATCTAAATTATTAGGAATAGTTCTACTAGAAAATTTGTCTCAGACTACTGGTATTTGGCATGTTACTGATATATCAGAAAAAATGTTTACCATAAGCATAAATAAAGGTACATACGCAGCTTTCCCACTTTTACATCAAATTACTTGTTAGCAGCTTTCCCACTTTCACATCAAATTACTTGTTAACATAGTTTTATTATTTAGTTAGTTATTTTTATTAATATGTGTCTCTTGTTGTAATTGAAGTACAAAATTGAAGTATAAATTGTAAACAGAAACTAAAATAGCTTTAATTTACAATGAAAAGTTCACTATTTATTTCAGTTGTGACTAAACTAGTTTTGGAGTTTGAACTCCATCTTCAGGTACAAAAAGTTAGGTAATCACATTAATAATTTATTTTAAACGATCATATTCTGTTATAATTTATTTATAATACCCTAATAACCTCATGGAGAAATTTGTCAATATTAAGAAATTGCTTTGTTAATAAAATTTCTTCATTTTGACTTTTCTTCGATTGTACGCCACTTCTACAAGTAGGTACCTAATGTATTTCAAAACGAAAATGTTTATTATGTTTTTTATTTAGATGAGTCGTTATGTCGTTGTTCATTTTACAAAGGAGAATAGTGTGTCAGCTGTTCCTGAAAAGTGGGTTGTAGGGGACAAATGTTTCTGGCCGAAAACATCTCTTGTAAGGCCGTTAATTAAACAAAGCGTTAGTCCGAAATCTTCTTGGGAACAATTTGCCGCAAAAGTCTTCCGTGATAAACAAGGCAACGTTAAGTACTTTGGTGAGTATTATGCTACAAACCGATGAAACCAAATTTTTTAAATTATATTTTACAGATTCACTTGATCTAGCAGAAGAAAAGGCAGTGCAAGCTGAAGAAACGTCCGACTTAAGTACGGATGAAGATAGTTCAGGGCCTAGTCGCATCAGTACAGGACTACATCCTCCTCCTGTTCCAAGTGTTAGCAATTTTGAGTTGGAGGACGATTTGTCAGAAGATGTTACAATGGAAGGTATAATTTATATTTATGCTACATATGTTGAAAAAGATTTAAACAGAAATTATTTTATAGATGGATTAAATGCTACATTGACTCCGTTAATCGAGGTTCCTATGTCTGCAATCGCGTCTTCCTCACCAATTCGTCAACAGCGATCGCCAATTTCCATTCAAACACGATGCGGTATTATTTCTAATATAATATGCATTGCACTTGTAACGTTATCTCAGTAAAAACTGGTCCAAAAGGTTACATTAAAAAAGGGATGATTTAAAAATTATTTGGGGTAAGTATTTTTAACGGTTAAAGTTCTTTATTGAAAATGTAATGTTTCTGTAGCGATCGATTTCGGCCTGTGCCTACTCCATTATCAGGCATTCAGGCTTACCGTCAATGAATGCATGATATACATTGATGATAATGATAAGGATGGTGAATTTCTCAAAAAGTGCCAAATTCCATTTAAAAAATGCTTTTTTATGACTAGATTAATAATATGAATTTTATTCTTAATTAATATAATTAAGTAGTCATAAAAAAAGCTTTTTTAAATGGAATTTGGCACTTCTTGAGAAATTCACCACCCTTATCATTATCATCGATGTATATCATGCATTCATTGACGCTAATCCTGATGATGGAGTAGGCACACACCGAAATCGATCGCTACAGAACATTAGGTACATTTTCAATAAAGAAGTTTAACCGTTAAAAATACTTACCTCAAATAATCTATAACCTACGGTCAAACTATGGAGAATTTTATACAGAATGATTTAAACTTGTGAATGATTAGGATTGGTCCCTACTTATTTTTATTGCACCTACTACTGAATTTTTGATTTATTTTTTTATCAACTCTTAGGTTTAATATTTTACACATCCTATGCAGAAGAACTTGTTTGTTGATTATAATGTTATGTTACTTACGTCTGCGTATTAATTATGTAATCTTTGGATCAGTTTTTATGGCTCTAATATTTTATTCTTCTGTTTATGTTAGTATGTGGAGGCATTTCAACAAGTTTAGAAAAACTTGTCGATCAGGTTGCATGCATGCAATCAGATATTACGGAAATAAGGGAGTTGTTACGTAGCGAGCGAACGGTTGGAAACAACTTAGCACAGCCAAATATAAAATTGCCCGATCTTCCAGCCAAAACACTCGAGGAATTTTTGCTATTAGAGGAATACTCGAAGATTCCTCAACAGGCCAATGCATTGGTGAGAAACTTGTAGTGGTTAATATTTTCTGGATTATTTACTAATTTTATTATTTTAGATAAAACATTTATCTACAGTTGGTGGTATAAATGTTGGAAATGCCACAAGAAGGATTTGGTCCCTTATTGTGACCGATTTTGTTAGCAGCAGATTGAGCTGGATCGGGGCAAATGAAAAAACCAAGTTGCAAAATTTAAATATAAATCGAATAATTATAGGTAAGTTCATATTGTTTTAATACTGGGATTTTATAACAAAATATGAAGCAAAATAAATGACTCTGTCGTCTGGTGTGATGAATGAAGAAGAATCATACCAATTTCAATGGACATTTCTATTAAAATGATTGCCAGTGTAATGTTTCAATAGTGAAATTAATTTCCTCGGATGTCATATTTTATAGCCTTAATTTAGCTTTTTTTTGTTAAATTTGTAGATGATCTATAGTTTGAAATGATTGAATTTTATAATTTGTTCGTAAACATGTGTCATACATTAATCTAATTCTTGACTACTATTGTATAATATCATTATATACATTTTTTTGTTTAATAATACCACCCATTATTATTAACAATAGTAAATAATGGTTCATTATTCAACGACTAGTGGACCAATGAGAGAATCAGAATATAATTATTACACGGGTGTGTGTCCAATCAATTTTTAAGTACCCGCAATCACATATTCTGTAGCAGTCTGATACTTCGAACACGACACTTGAGAATTTCAAAATTTTTTTAACCATTATGTTGTAGTACACTCGGGATAAGGGACATTATACACTTGAATACCGCCCTTGTGCATTACCGCTATTGTTGAATTTTTTTAAATTTAAGTGTTTACTTTGATTCTTGCAGTTTTGATTAATTTAGTTTTGGCATTTCAGTGTCCATTCAAGTATTTTTCTTAATTAAATGATTCTCATTTGACTTGGTTGTGCAATCAAAAGTATTGCTTCATGCATTTTGGTATAAGCATGCAAAAAATATTATAATTTGTATACTAGTAGGGACCTATACAGTATACTTTACTTATTTCCGTTACTTCCAGTTGCTGTAAGAACAATAATACCGAACGCCACTGACATAGAAGTCTTGTCTGCAACCAAAGTTTGGATTCGAAAATCGGCAGAAAGGATAAGAAAAATGGACAAAACTATTTAAATGTTATTTATATTTGTCATATTATAGATAATAGATACATAGTGACATGTATAAGTTGTTAAAGAACCAATATAGCGTGTGATCCTGTATTGTGATTTATTTTGTACTTAGATTGTATACATATAGGTATTTAATCCTCCAAGTCACATATAAGTTAGGTTTGACGGTAGTTTATTCCTTTCTATAACGGGAAACTAATTAACAAACTTACTTTTTTAATACATAGGGTTCAAATTGAATTATTTCAAAAATTGTTTTTGTTTGTATTTTGAAGTTTGTTTTACATGCTCACGATAGCATCCATACATGAATGCCCTAAAGATAACTTTGCAGTATGGTATATTATCAATCATAGTGGACTGCTTTTGAATGTTTTTTATTGTTGATATTTATACGAACATAAACAGTTGGTTTTTGAACATCTATATAGAATCACCTCTAAGCTAATATTACAGCATAGTATATTATCGACCACAGTAGTCAGCTTTCGACTGTTCTTTGTGGTTGACCTTTAGACGAACGAAATAGTTAGCTTTTTAAACATCAATATGGCATGGTCTAAAGATGTCACTCCAATATGGCTTATTGTCAACTATAATAGTTAAACTTTGGACATGACACAAAGTCAACCGATAGAACATTATTTAAAGTTAACTATCAGATGCTTTGTGAAATTAAGTTTTTGGTAACTCTTAGGACTCCCAAAAGTTGCAATAAAGACACATAATTTGTGACATAGTTAACCCGTAGGATTGCTTTTGATTAAGCATTGGTAACCTTGTATTTTATAAGAGGTCTAACTATTGGTTACCTTTCAGATAATTTTGGTTGTGTGG